TATATATATATACATATATATATATATATATATATATATATATGTTGCATGAATGTCAAGGTACAATTGCATGATAACTCTAGTTTAGTATATTCTTTATGTATTCCACTACATAGTGTTGTACTATACAAAGTGCAATGATTTGTCGAGTCATTACCCGACAAATCTTGTCTTATACGTGGTCTTGGTTGACCAATTACTATTCATCTTTTAGTTTTTCTTCTACCAATAGACCTTTGATTCGAGAGCATGTGTGGTGGGATAGATAAAAAATATTAAAGTTATGAGCTAGTGTGGTTGTAATGTGAAACTGACATTTATGTTTGGAAATATAAGGTGTTTTATACATCAAATTTGTTGTTTTTTGACTTAAATATAATTTTTGTCCTTGTAATTTATCATTTTCTTCATTTTTATTCAATGTAAATATTTTTGTTGTTATTTCATCCTTAACATTTTATAACATTTCAAAAATAGTCCCTACCATCAACTTCTGTTAAAAAAATTCTATGACAAACATAATACATATTATATCTTGTTATATTCCACTTTCCATTGCCACATAGGCAAATTGATTTTAAAAAAACTTTAGACAAAATTATAAAACACACTTCATTATTGCTACTTAATCATACTCTTCACGTGCACCTTCTTTGAACTATGCAACATCGTATCCTAGCTATCATCAGTGGTGGGACTGGACCATCGGCCTTCCTTCTCCAATGAGGTGTCCCGCTCGTTGTTGTTGTAATGATCGCAGTAGGTGGCAATGATCTGAGACAATTGAGGCACAATTTTCTTAAGCCTTGAGGAGGCAACATTGGCAGTAATGCCAATAGAGTGGTTAAAGCTCATGCGCCACATGAACTCTTGCACAATGAGGGAGTAGTCAAGCATGAGGTCGAACTTCTCTATGGTGAAGTGGTAGCCAATGGCAACCTTGTAGAGGCAATGAACTTTGCTTCGTTGTTGAAATCGTGGTTGTGAATAGTTGCTCCTCATTGGAAGATAGGGGTTTGGATTGTTCTTTTTAGGGTTTGCAATGTCAAATTTGGATCGAAGAAAGGAAGCACAGTCATGAGGTTGAGAGTGCAGTGAAATCCATTTTGAAATTTTGTCTAAAAAAGTTTAAAAATAATTTACTTATGTGACAATGATAAAGTGAAATATAACAAATATAATATTTATCACATTTGCAACCTAGAATTATTTTAATGGTAGAAGATAATAAAGGCTATTTTTCAAGCATTTTTAAAGGTTAGATGAAACAATAATAACTTTTTTATATAGAAATCAAAAGTAAAAAAATGATAAATTATATGAATGAAAATTATATTTAAACTTTATTTTTTTACTGCCACTTTTGTCTAATCACTACAAAAAAATGTGCGATTTGTGGCGGTTATTTTGGTAGTTTCTGGCGGTTAAAAACCGCCACAAATCGCATTACCGGCGTCACAAATAACCGCCAGATCCACGGTCGCCAAAAACCGTTTGTGGCGGATATTTTGTAAACGGTGGTTTTGAGCGCCAGAAAATTGAATTACCTTGTGGCGGTTTAAAACCGCCAGAAAATGCATTTTAATGTTACTTGTTTTACAGTTTCTGGCGGTTTAAGACCGCTAAAAAATTCATCTAAATTTTGCTTGATTCAACATTTTTGGGGGTTTTAAACCGCCAGAAAATTGTTTTTTTTTTTACTTATTTACACTTTGACAGTTTTAAATCGTAAAAAAAATGCATTTGGGAAACTATATATTGTCCCGATAAAGTACTTGACAAGACCGATCAAATTTATCACCCATTGATATTGAAAACAAGTTTTAACTTAGAACATGAGTTCAGAGTATTATACCTCTGCCATACAAATGCGTGCACCTTATAATCACTATAAAATGAAAGTTTTAGTGCTTAGCATCTATTACTTCAAGCAATTTTCTTTGATACTTGTTTCCAAGAACCTACATAATGTTTGTAAAGAATCATCAAACAACTTCAGTCCATACTATAGAAGATGTCAAGTCCTAAATCTTCAGCCATAGCTACCACAGCAATTCCAAGCACTGCAGGACATGGTGAGTCTCACCTTTATCAAGATGTTGTGAACAATGATCCAAGAGATTTTGAACCTGCAAGGAAGAATATCAATAATTATAAACATAAAAAGCTGCATAATAAATAATATACATAGATGAATGTAGCAGAGGTTTCTTTAAAAAGAAGCTTCATAAATACTTTGAGAACATTTCCAGTTCCAACATAGGCACATGATAGTAGTGCCATGTCATACAATAACAACACCAAAATATGAATCACTTACCCACTGCACATATTCCATTGGTACGGAAGATTGGTACGATTTTCATGCAGAGCCTTCTGAACCTCAGGGAGGTTGAAATAAAAACTTCTTTCATAATCCATGCAGACATCTACACCTATGCTTATTTTCGTAGCCTGCATTATAGTAACCAAATTAATTAGTTTATAATTTTATTAAAAAAACATTTTAAAATATTCATAGAACAGAAATGAAAGGGGCATAGTACCATCTTTTTCAATCTTAGTTCTTGTTCAACTATGGATGGATAACAAACATCCAGAATCACATCATAGTTGTTTATATAATCGCCAACAATTTTTTCTGCTTTGTTTAATGCTTTGTTGCATGATTTAGACACATTATGTTGTGTACTTGAAAAAACATAATCATCAAAATCGCAATCATTCGTAATGGCAAGGCCAACTTCATCGGAAATCATTCCATGTGACCAGAAGTATTCATAAGTTGCTTGTGCATCACGATCAAGTTTTCAGAAGTGGGTTTCCAATCTAACAAATGAAAGCCAAGGAAAAATACCTTTCAAATTGAAATATTAGCGGTACGATAACAGAGACTAGTCTAAAAGCAACGCAAAAATAAATGAGTAAAATAATGCCAAAAAGATATCACATGAAAGGGATCTTACAGCAACTCCTTTAATATTGAATTTGAAACCAGCTGAATTAGCATTGTGGTCCAAAATAGCATTAGCTAACTGTGGTATATAATGTCCTGTACAACATTTAAATGTTAGTAATAAAAAAAAATATATTATCATTATAATTTGATAAAAACACTTTTCCAAAAGGAAAAGAAAAGTAAAGTAAACTGGGGCAATAATTTCATAGCATGTCCCTTGCTAAGAATGATGATGCAAGTTATCTGCATGTGCATAAAATAATAGAATAAAAGCTTTGATCTTAACTAAATAACGTCAGCTTATATTATATAGAATATTTTGGAACTCGAGACCAAGTTTTGGGAATTTCAATTCAACAAATAAAATCATTAAAATTGGGATAAGATCATTATTTTTTTGACCTGCAAAGCTTTCTCCAGTAAGAAACAACTCCCTTGATCTGTAAGAAGGAAACTTCTGGTACCATTTCAGCATGAATAGAAGCATATCATTGGCTTCCAAAAAGATATTTCTTTTTGCTACAGCATAACAGAAAAAAGAAATTATTATATATAGGCGTCATTCAAGGTTTAGGCGTTATATGCAAACAGATATTCAAGGTACCCACTAAGCAAGAGTTTCAATTCCAACAAAACTCAAATATTGCTTAATAAAAAATCAAGTCCTTAGTACCATGTATTTACCGAATATCATGTGATACCAATAAATTGAGATTCCTTCAATCAAATTAACAAAGGAAAGAATGAAAGGGAAACCTTCTTGAAGTTGAATTGGTTTACAACAACAATCACAATAACCCAAAACCATTATGTGAAGTTGGAAACAGGGATCAATTGATGCCAATGTGTACATCAAAATGATACTGAAAATAGAATCCAACAAGTAGTAGTCCCTTTGGTTTTGTTTGAGTTAGTTTCTGTAACATATATGCCAATGAGCTTCTTTAATGTTTATTTTTCCAAGTAGCCTAGATACTTGGTATAGCTAGTTCTTTAATTGTTTCCATCAGCTGCTATCTTATCCAATCTATTCCTAATATATTTGATTTGACGAGCCATCTTAAAACGTAAAAGAAGAGAATTAGAGGAAGAAAAGAAGTGGCCTACATTCATTCTGGTGTTGCCTAAAGCTTTGACAACTTGCTTTCTTAAGTTTTGGCACTGAAATCCATCCAATATATCTTCAGCATCTAAGCATACGTTTTGAATCTGCCTGAGCCATTCACGCAACCCATGCTTCTGCTCCCTCTTCTCCTCAGCATCCAACAACACACCTTTCACAATTGACAAGGTGTCTTTGATCCCTTGCACATCCTCATACACATGATAGGCACGAGAAGAATATATAAAACATAAGAAAATTATTATATTTGGTACGTACTATTGTTTAACTGCTCAACAAAAATTGTTCAATCATAAAAACAAATGATAAAACTCCATCTTCAAAATTGTTCAAGTTAAAATCCTCTGCACAAAAGGAGAAAATTGTCAAAAACTGCTATATAGCTGAGAAATATATTAGCAACTTATACTTTTGCAGTAAGATTATAACAAAATATCATTATTAATTTGCAAGGAGATTTGGTAATTTGATTACTACAATAAATTAAGTGTAGAGTTATACATGCTTCTAAGAATTCTAAGAATTTTCTCCAATAACGATATTATTTATATATTAGAATTTTCTCCAATAATGATATTATTTATATAGACAAAAAAGAAGGTATATAATTAAAGTCCATTTCCAGGTATAGAAGTAACTAAGTCCAGCCCACATAATCAATGCAAAGCACCTGCAAATCCAATAGGAAATGATTGAAAATGAAGTATCAATGTGTTGCACGAGATGTGGAAATATTATTGCATAAAAAAAAACTATCTAAAGCATCTGATGCCAGTATGAAAATAGTCATGAATGAATGTACTTGATACTTATAAGTGGATATTCATATAGAAGTGGATATTCTTATCCAATCTTCTTTCTTTCTTTCATGCAGCTCCAAAAGCTTCACGAACATTCAAATTTGTTCTCCGCATAACACTAAACACCTCCAAAGCATCACACAACAAATCATTCTCCGCATAAACAGAAACCAACGAGTTCCACGAAATTTCAAAAAGCAAATAACATTGTAATTTCAAATCAAAACGTTAAAAAATAAATAACGAACATTCATATTCCCTTACCTCAAATTTGTAATCTCTGAAAAATTTGTTCCACCTAAAACCTCTGAACAAAAAAATTATAATGAAATATTATACAAAGCAAAAAATAGGGAATCAAAATGGATATGAATCGAAAACTCACCTTAAATGGAAGCAATCGATCGAAGAACAGCGTAGAGAAGAGAAAGCTTAAAAAGCTCTTGCGAAATCACTAACCCCAAATTGAACACTTAGTTAAATGTTTTCATCGCAAATTGGCTCACGAACGACTGTGTTGACCGTGAAATGAAGCTGAAGGTTTGATGGAAAAAGAAATTTGAGAGTGAAGCAGAAGGTTTAACGGAAGAAGAAGAAGCGAAGGTTTGACGGACGAAGCAGAGCATGCGTTGAAGTGAAGCAGAAGGTACTAGGATATTTTTTTATTTTGAATTTATATTCTTTAACTCTTTTTTATTTTTATTCTTTTAATTCTTTTAATGAGAATCAGAGTATATTTTAATTAAGTTGTATACGTGGTGACAAGAGTTAATAAGTAGATGTCATTGTGACGGTTAAAATAACCGCTAGAATTATATCATTTTGTAGCGGTTTATTAAAACCGCCGAAAAAAAACCGCCACTAATTAACTAATTTTTTTGTAGTGAATTTCTAAGGGCAAAACAAGGTCATAATTGGAAACTTTGAAGAAAACATTTGCCAGGAATTTTGAACTCTATAATTTTGATGCTTTTTGGTTGATGGAACATTATTGTTTGTAATTTTTCTTTCTAGTAACTGATAGGTCGTTTTACTCACATAAGAGGCTTTTTAACCTTAATAAATTAAAATAAAAAACTAAAATTTTTAAAATAAATTATTTGGAGATTAATTTACTGAACAAAATTGTTTTGGACATGTGGACACTGACAAAACGTGACTGCGTCAGACGTTTTACATGCATGCCAAAGAATGATACAAAAAACGTCATGCACACTGATGTCTTCCCTACATGGCCACTTCATGCAGTGTTGAAGCAGCCTAGATACAGAAAGCATCAGGCATGGTGACGCCTTCCATGCACTAAACCAAAAATGTCTGGGCTAGTGACATTTTCAAGCATAGTCACCTCGGTTCGTCATGCAAGCAGGTTGGTGCTCGTGTAGTGTGGAGGTTCATTATGTAGTGTGCACAGTTTGAAGGGATGACGTCAGCCCATCTGACGTTTTCTATGTAGGGTGTGTTTGAACAGAAAATGTCAGGCCCTATGACATTCTTTGTTGCCCTCCCTCCCCCGACTAGTAGTTTAAGTTCCAAGAGAGTGAGTGAGTGAGTGAGAAGAAGAAGAGAAGAAGAAGAAAAAGGAAAGAGAAGGGAAGGACCCAAGTGAAGTAGAAAAAGAAAAAAGAGAACTAAAGGACGTGAGAGAAGAAGAAAAAGAAAAAAAGAGAAGAAGAAATTTGAGTGTGAGAGAAGATAAGAGAAAAAGAGGAGAAAGTGGTAAATTAGAGAAGGAAAGTTATGTGAAGAAAGAGAAGCTAAGTTTTTTTTTAATATTAATATTTTGATTTTTTATGTACAATTTTCGGTTTTAGATTTATTTATGTGGAAAATTTGTTGATGATGTTAATGATTCAAATTTTTGTTTTGTTTTGTTTTGGAGAAGGAGATTATTGTAAACTGTATGTTTTTTTTGTAATCTTTTAAAATAACAATACTTTGTTTTTTCATGTATAATTTTAGATTTTAGATTTTTGTGTGAAAAATTTGTTGATGAATCAAATTTTTAGGAGTTTAGATTTTTTAAGTGTTTAGAAATAAAATAGTGAATAGTTGTGATTTTGCATGGTTTTAATTATTTGATGTTGATGTGAGGAATAGAAGAGTTATTAGTTATAGTTTTGATTTGGAATTAATTTTGTTATGTGTTATATAATTTAATTTATATGAAATTAATCTTTTAGCAAATTAAATTGAAGTTTAAAACTTTTTGTTTCTATGGTTTTAATTATTTGATCTTCATGTAGGAGGATAAGAATATTTTGTTTAGGGTTTAATTGATTATTCATTATTTAGGGACTTAAATATTTATTATTTCAATTTTACGCGTACACTTCTTGATTGTATATAATGAAGATGATTAATATGTTATCCTATTACCTAATGTTTTTATTTCTTGTAAAATTTGGACAAGCTACACAACTTGCAAACATAACCTTCTTAGGACGCTTGAACAATTTTGTGAGATAAGCCCAAAAATTAGTTGGTGGATTGATGGTATTTCGCTAGAAAAATGAAGCCTCACCCATGATGATGAAGGTCGTAGATACAATCACATGATTGCAAACTTGTCTAAGGTTGTCAACAAGATCTTAAAGGGTGCCCATAACTTGCCAATAACAACTCTTGTAAAGTGCACATATGATAGGTTAGTTGAGTATTTTGTTCAAATGTTAGGTCAAGCCAATGTAGAGCTTGCTCTTGGTCAACAATATTGCCAAAAGTTAATGGATGCTATGTAAAACAATCAAGAGGAGGCAACATCTCATTTTGTTTGAAAATATGACTATGAGGCCACCAGATTTGAATTGGAAGAAAATTTCAATCCAATTACACAAAGAGGTGGTCATGGATAATAATTCTTAATGAACAAAAATGTGAGTGTGGTGCTTTCCAAGCTTACAGATATCCATGTTCACATGTCATTATCGCATGTGCTTATGCTTGCATAGATCCCTTGAACTTTGTTGATGTTTCCTATTCAAATGCATATATTAAAAAGGCATATTCTGGGCAATGGTACCCACTTGGTAGTTGTAGACACCCAATTTTGTCTGGAGTACCCAAACCAAGGACAAAGGTATACTAGAGTGAGACAAACAACCCTTGAGGGGCCCAACACGTTGGACAACTGTTTTGTTATTATAATATCTCTCGTTATAGAACTAATTTTGACGATCCAACCGTTGAGATTAAAGATCATGTATTGAGAAGATATCATCAATATTCCAGCATGATCCAACAGTTAACTAGTTCTCTAGAAGCCTCACACTGTAGTTGAAAAAAAGTAGTACGTATGGCCCCTAAGGGCCCAATAGAGCACCAAAATGGGTCAAGATGGCTCCGAAAGGCCCAAAAAACTCAAGAAAACCGATCTGGAGTGCAGAACAGTCTTCCTAAATTGGAACGGACCGTTCCCAATGTTGGAACGGCCCGTTCTGAAACCAAAACAACCCGTTCTACTTTCCAGAAAATTTTGCGTTTGGCAGTTTTTTTTGTTCCAATAATATCTCCCTCTAAAGACCTAATTTCACGATCCAACTGTTGAAGTTAAAGATAAATGTCTTAAGAAGATATCATCAAAGTTTTAGCATGATCCAACGTTAATGATTTCTCTAGAGGCCTCGCATTGCAGCTGGAAAATATGAATCCTATACCAGACAACGTTTTTGTTATGATTGTATCTCTTACTACAAACCTAATTTCAATGATCCAAACGTTGAAATTGAATATCAATGTATTGTGAGGATACTATAAAAAAAACAGCACGATCCGGCGGTTAACGAATACTCTAGAGGTCCTGCATAGTGCCTAGGAAAAGATGGTATTTTTATAAAATTTAGTCTTACGTCAAATAACTCTCTTATGTTTTTATCTCCTAGTTGGCTATGTAAGAAACCCTCTGGCCAAGGGATTAAGGAAAAAGAGCTGCATAGCTTCCCCCCTCTCTATATAAAACTTTGAGTGATAGTGACCTTTTTGTAGAGCGAAGGGTTGCAAAAACACGCCCCGCACGCATTTAGGAAGATTCCCTTATAAAAAGGCTTGCTTTAGAAGTTCTAAATTCTTCTCTTTTATTTATTCTTTTTAATTATTTATTTATTATTTTATTTATTGTTTTATTTGTTATTTCATTTATTATTTTATTTCTTTATTTATCACTTTATTTATTTTATTTATAATTCTTATATACCAATAAATAATCATGTAGATAATAGATATTTTTCGTCATGTAAATAATATTAAATAATAAAAGGGGATAAGATATTTAAAATATTATTATTATTATATTAATTTCATCATAGGGTACTAATTTAGGGCGTTGTAGGGGTGCCTAATACCTTCCTTACACGTAACCGACCCCCGAACCCAATTTTGGCTATGAAGGCTTTTATTTTAATTTCAAAATCTTTTCTTTTTTCAATGTTTTGAGTAAAACATTGGTGACGACTCCATGAACTCACATTTTTTAAAACTATTAGTTGAAGATTAGTCTGGCATCCGGGCATTCCTTAATTAATGAGATTTTTCAAAAAAAAGGTAGTCTAAACAATTGGTCGTAAGATAAAAATTTTTCGGGTTACGATAGTAGTGATGACAACATTCATCTTACCAATGGATCTCGCATTGTCCTTGATTAAACTATGTTGTTTGCTAAGGGGCGTCTAAAATAAACTCGTATAAGAAATGAAATGGATTAGACAGTGTCAACAAAAATAACGTTGTGGACATTGTAGGGCTGAAGGTCATAATAGACCAAACTGTCCTCAACTAGCATCAAATATCAATGATGAACTTGATCATTAATGTGTATCCAAAATCTTAGTTATATAATCTTCAATCATGTATATAAATTTTATATATTTTACTGATGTAATTCTTAAGTTGGATAATGATTATGTGTTCGAATAAATATCCTAAATTCAAAATAATTAACATATTTAATTATTTAAAAATTCAAATATTTATTTTCATTTCACTAAATAAACCTACATATTTTCTACCTTTCTATTTAAAGATAAAAATAAAAATAATACAGAACATGATTATTTTAAAAGAAAATTAATTACATATTGTAAAATACAAAGCAAATAACAAATAAATTTTTTTAACAAATTATTAGCAAAAATATTTTTAAAGCCTATAACACTATTATTAACAATAAATAAAATTATGATTACCAAAAAAAAGTATTTAATTTATTAATACTATTACACTATAACTATAACCTAATACTAAACCTTAAACTTTCAACTCAATAAACTAAAAACTTAAAACATGTTGAATGTCCAGAGCAAAAGCGCATAGTGCTTCATAAATCCATTTAGCATTTTTGGGATTTATAAATTGGTGTTATCCGATAGAAGTATGGTAGCAAAAGAGTATAGGAGTAAGAAAACGTCAAGGGGGCAAACGAGTATCGAACAACACAAAAGTTGTCAATACCTTTGACGACTTCTAGTATGGACAAGTTGTTACTAAATGTGACAACTTCTAGTACACGGTTGAAAACACTGAAAACGTCACATAACTCCTAAATATTTTAATTATTAAAAATATATTAATATTATACTTTTTAGTCACATAATTTTCTAGTTTTAGAATAATGTGATTGATATTTTACATTTTTAGAAATTTCTTTTAATTTCTTTTTATCCAAAAAGAGAAATATAATAACGACATCTAAATTCTACGGATCAAAATAATTATTTTCCGAAAAGAATCTCATTTAATGTATCTTGTTGAGAAACAAGTCCAAATACGAAATTTTTTGGGACAACAGAAAAATCCTCACTCGCCATCAAATTAGATTGGACTATATTAATTATATGCCATTTATGCATTTCACAAATAATAACATTACTTTTTTTTTTTTGTTGAATACATTTGCATTACCTACCACCGAGTCTGTGGTATATAAAATTCAAACAAAGTAGTTATGATTTATGAAATGAATATGTCCATGATTATTATTAACAAGATTCAAATCCTAATTATCAAACACATTATTTATTGTATAATTAATATTACTGTTAATATAATTTTTTGTTATATAAATGTAAATGTTGTATAAATCTCATTAAATAAAAAAAAACTCACATTATTCAATTGGTTACTATATAATTGGTGTAAATTATTCATAAGTGTTTTTTTTTATGTTAGTCACATTTAATTATTGAGATCTATTTTTTTACCACGTTTTTTTTCATTTAAATATGAGACTTTGTTTAGATTTAGTTAAACCAATTATATGATTGATACGTAAATTTTAAGCCTAATCATTATTCTCATCAATATTTATAATATTTTGATGATTAAAACCATTAAGAGAAGATAGAAATACAAAAAATAAAATAGGCATTGGGAGTCATGCTAAGGACTTTTTTTTAATATATTATTTTTTTTAATTATTAAAATAACTTGAACTCATTTTTATTTGCGTAAATAACCCATTTTGAGGCTCAGGTGAGAAATCGGTTACTGGATAATCAATTTCTTAAAGGAATTATTTTAAAAAAATTTAGAATCCTTTGAGAAATCGATTACCTAATAACCGATATTTCTATTGGTTTTTTTTTTTTTTTTTTTCATTTTTTGGGCTTTTCTTGTTCAGATTTAAAAAAAAATTCATTTTTCATTTTTTGATTTTCAGATTTTTTTAAAAAGTATAATTAATTTTAGAAAAATATATTTAATATTTAAACTAAATAGTTTATAAAGAATAATACTTAATAATAAAAAATAATATTATATTTATTTATAAATTATAATATTTCTGATTTTAAATTTTTTAAAATAAATATAGTTAATTATAATTTTCAGAATTATATATAAAATTATAAAATTTTGCATAATATTTTAAATTTATGTTAAAAATAAAGAAAATATTAAAACTTATTTATCATACTAAATTTTAGAATTATAAAATTGATTTTATTATTTAAATTAAATTTATTAAATATAGAAAATTGAAAACTTTAATATAATAATAAATATATTGATTTTGTATTGGTAATTATAGATAATTAAATTGATTATTACATAAATGACAATATTATTTTATTAAATATTAATGACATTATATATTAAATACACTAATTATAACGGTTTCATCATTAAAATGAAAATAACTTTAAAAAAACACAATTTAAATAAACTTCAAACATAATAGATAAATAACATAAAATCTAAACCATATAACATTAGTTGTCTAACTTCATTGTTTGGTCAAGGTATCTTTCAATCGCTTCCATCCCATGCAATAATCCAATATACGTCGTGGTAGCATACAATTCGAGACTTGTTAGGTCGTGTAGTTCTATGAATAATGAAAACATACACTCCACATCTTCATCATCCCTAAGACGACACGTATATTTATATACACCACCGATACATGAATTCAGGTATCAGTGGTGGATATCTATGACAACTTTGTAATGAGGAAGATTAAGGTTATTATTAATAACCTGCATAAGTTGTTGATAAGTCATCATGTTGCTTACTAGTAGGGTTTTAACCTCGTTGCTAACAAATGTATCTCCATGCTCAGTGGAGACAATTTGTCCATCATAATAAACAGTGTTCGGAACGGTTAACGACTCCATTGATTGGATGTTTCAATCTCTTGCATTTTATCATGTGTTTAGGGTTTATAAAGAACTAAAGCAAGCTAATGTGGACAAACGCAAAGTAATTGGATTCTTGACGGTCTAGGTCAAAGCAATTGATGACACTGCACAAAGTCATTGGATTCCTGACGCTCTAGGACCAAGGCAATGACACTCTACACAAAGCATTAATTTTTCTAACGCTCTGGGACCAAGGCAATGACACTCTGCACAAAGTCATTCATTTCTCTGATGCTCTAGGACAAAGCAATTGATGACACTGCATAAAGTCATTAATTTTTCTAAACGCTCTAAGACAAAGCAATTGATGACACTCTACACAAAGCATTAATTTTCTGACGCTCTAGGACAAAACAATTGATGACACTGCACAAAGTCATTGGAGTCCTAACGCTCTAGGACAAAGTAATTGATGACACTACACAAAGCATTAATTTTCTGACACTCTAGGACCAAAGGCAATGACACTCTGCACAAAGTCTTTGGATTCCTTAGGCAATGAGACAAACTAATTCAAATTTTTTGCACTATATATACACTACATATGTTCCAACCCTAAACACACAACAAAAGATCAATTCTCTTCAGCTATTGCACTCTTCAATTTCGTTGCTATTATTTTTCAAGAATGTCTTCTTCGTCTTCAACTATATTGTGGAAACAACACCTCCATAGGTCAAATGAAACTCATCTTATGATAAGTTAATATATATTGCATAATGTTTACAACTAATATCATTCATTACTAACATTTCAATTCAACCATATTCGCAGACAACAAGTGATCAAGTGATTCAATCTTACTATCATTCCATGCCTACACCTGACCCAAGAATTGAACATTTGTTGGAGATTGCTGGCTTTGGAGAGGTTGCGAAAATTAGACATTTTAAAATCGATGATTCTCTGATAATGTCTTTGGTGAAGAGGTGGAGACCTGAGACACATACTTTTCCTGAGACACATTCTAAATTATTTCTTTGTAGCCAATATTCTTCATCTCATGCATCCACTTCTAGTACACAACTCCCAACAACTATAGGAACAACATCCCCAATGGCTGAAGATCCACATTATAGTGTGGAACAACATCCTCAGTCTCTTTCAATGAATCCACCATTTCATACGCACCATGAACAATTCATGTACACCCCACCATCAACAACAACTCCAACAGGGGATTTCATGAGCAATCTTTTCGGTGTCGACATACACATGCCACAAAGTGCATATTTTTACATGCAAAACATGAATTTTTCTTCATTTTCTTCTTATCACTCTGAGATCGATGGAAGTGCTTCGTCAAATCTAGTCACCGTTATTATTAATATAAAACATGATGGGGAGCAAGTTGAACCACAACAACCACGCATTCGTCGTCGAAACCCAACAAGGAATCGACAACCTTCGAGGTGTGGAACTGGTGGACATAGACATCATTAAAGTTGGATTGTAATTTCGTGGATTGTAATTGTCTTGTTGTTCTTTTTTATTCGATCTCTTATTTTGTTGTTGTTATTTTGTTTTTATTTAAAATTATTCATCTCAATTAAAGTTGTGATTTATAATAATATTGTCATTTATTTAAAATTAATTTTATTAAATTTTATTCTTTAAAAATTATTTTATTTAAATATTCAATAGATTTTTTATAATCTTAAAAAAACAAAAACAAAATGAATTTTTTTAAAATTTATTATACTTTTTTTAAATCTGAATATTAAAAACTGAAAAAGGAAAATAAATAACAAATCTGAAAAAAATGAAAAACAAAAAAAGCCCAAAAAACGAAAAAAAAAACTCAATAGAAAAATTGGGTAACCAATTTTCTTAAACGAATTTTTAAATTTTTTTTAAAAATTCTTTTAAAAAATCGGTTACTGATTTCTCATTTCAACCTCAAAAACTAGTTATTTACATAAATAAAAATAAGCTCAGATTATTTTAATAATTAAAAAAAACAATATATTAAAAAAAAAAAAAGTTCATGCTAAGCGTCATTTCTATTAATTATTTCAGCTCATATCTCATTCATTTGTCTATTTTAATCACGTTGACACGTGCAAAAATTATATATACGAACAGAAAGAAACCCCAAAACTAAAAGCGCTTTTAATTTTAAATTTCAAATTTCAGCTCCCAAGCTCAGGAGAACATGGCAAATGATCCTGAAATCAGTGCACCGCTAAGTTCGTTCGCACCTTCATTTTCTCTCATTCTCCAAACGCACTTTTTTCTGTTCTCTTCTTTTCATCAAAACATGAATTAATTAACGCTTTCCTTTGGACTTCGCAATTTCAGTTAAAAGGAGTCACAATCACAATCACAACAAAAACGCCACCACCTCGGCGCCGGAGAATTCACCAGACGACGAGACTTCTCCGGTGGAGCAGGTGGCGCTGACGGTGCCGGTGACCGACGATCCCTCACTGCCTTCGTTCACGTTCCGGACATGGATTTTAGGAACCCTAGCGTGCGCGCTCCTCTCGTTCCTGAACCAGTTCTTCGTGTACCGGCGGGAGCCGCTTTCGGTGACGGCGATATCGGCGCAGATCGCGGTGGTGCCGGTGGGACACCTGATGGCGGCGACGGTGACGGAGCGCGCGTTCTTGAAGGGGACGCGGTGGGAGTTCACGCTGAACCCGGGGAAGTTCAACGTGAAGGAGCATGTGCTTATCACCATCTTCGCCAGTACCGGAGACGCTACCTTCTTCGCCGTCCATTTCGTTTGCGCCGTTAAAGTGTTCTATCGGATGGAGTTAACGGTCTTGGCGGCGTTACTTGTCGTTATAACAACGCAGGTTTTGGGCTTTGGTTGGGCCGGGGTTTTCAGACGGTACCTTGTGGAGCCCGCTTCAATGTGGTGGCCCCAAAACCTTGTCCAGGTCTCGCTCTTTAGGTACGTGGCTTTCGATTATTTGTTGCTTTCTTTTCTTCCACTCTTGCATCATAATCGCACAAACCATCGCTCAATGCTTAGTGCTTCCTTCACCTTTACTTCAAAAATATCTTATCATTATCATATTTATTATTCCATTTATCTCTCTCTTTATTATTCCTTTCATTATCATATTTTTTTAATGAGGAGATGGACCTAATAAAGTGTCAATCACTGCTTAGTGCTTCCTTCACCTTTGCTTTAAAAATATCTTATTCTTTATTATATTTATTATTCCATTTATTTCTTTCTTTATTATTCCGTCAATATCATCTATATATATATATATA